TTGTAGTCGTCAGCGGTGCAGCTGGCGCTACTGGAAGTGTGGTCGGTCAAATCGCGAAGCTGAAAGGCGCCAAGGTTCTGGGTCTCGCTGGTGAGGACAGCAAAGTATCATGGTTGAAGGAGGAACTCGGCTTTGACGAGGCGCTGAACTACAAGGACCCGGAGTTTGCAAAGAAGTTCAGGGCTGCAACCAAGGGCCTGATCGATGTGTACTTTGACAATGTAGGCGGAGAGATCCTTGACCTTGCCCTCTCCCGAGCGAAGCCTTTCGCGCGCTTCGTCATGTGCGGGGCGATCTCCGAGTACAACAAGAAGAAGCCTCAAGGGCCAAAGGTATGTCAAACATCTCAAGTCGCTGTAATGCGCCCAGCTAACCGAGCTCAGAACTACATGATGATTATCTCAATGCGCATTCGCATGCAAGGTTTTGTCGTCTTTGACTTCGCGGACAAGTACGCCGAGGCCAGGAAGCAGCTCGCGCAGTGGCTCTCCGAAGGCAACCTCAAGAGGAAAGAGACAATCATCCAAGGAGGCATCAACAAGGCCGAAGACGCGCTAGTCGGCCTGTTCGAGGGAAAGAACACTGGTAAGCCTGTCCAATTACCATTGAAAGAGTCAACGTCACTAACAAATGCAGGCAAAATCATGGTACAGGTCGCAGATCCTGAGGCAGTCAAGGCGAGGTTGTAGAGGTTAATTGATCATCAATCGAGTTTCTGCTAATCGAATGTATTAACTCTACGTGTAATCTTGGTGAGTCTGTCGTGCGACGAGGTGCTCCTTCCACCGCGGAGGCGCACGGTCACACCTGGCGTGGCCGCCTGCCTGAGGCGCGCGATCTGGACAGTCGAGCTACACTCAACACCCAGCGCCCTCAATAAGCTCACCGTGCATCCTGACAGCTACATGACCTCGCAACTGACACCAGCTTCAATCGCCGCGACAATGTCGACTCCTCGATACTCCGCGGCAACGAGCCGGCTGGAGTCACTACCCGCTGAACTCCTCGAAAGGATCCTGCTCGAAGCGGTACGCGGACTGCAACCCGCACTGACGGAAACAACGGTATCTCTTAACAGACGATGTATGCAAGAAACGCTCAGCGGTCAATGCCGCGCTTCCAGACTCCTCACGTTTAGATACGTGAGCCGCACCATTTACAACCACGCGTGGCGGGCTCTTGCAAAAGTACTCGACGAGACCACCTTCGACCTATGCTCGAAGCAGAGCATGGAAAACCTCGTGGCCTTGGCGAATTGCAAGGATCTGAACCCGTGGACTCGAAAACTGACCGTCACTTCTCGCTACACCGAGCACCTCCTGCCAGAGGTTGGTAACGTGGAAACTGGTGGAGTTTATAAGCACGAAGACGTATTCGAAGCTGGTCTTTTGAATAGGACTCAGGCTATCATCAAGAGCGAGCTCGATTGGTACCCGGAGCTATGGTTGTCTTCCGATGACTATCACAGCAGTACTGCACGTACACTCCAGGATGCTGTTAGGAGCAGTCAGCTTTGGCAACTCGTTCTATCGTGTCTGGAAGCTCTACCGAATATCGTCAACATCCATTACTGCGCCAGGAGAGTCGCGGGCAGATTCACCGAAGTCTTTCGAGAAATGGCAATGATCAAGGACGTCGACATATTTTGGTACATATATGAGCACTCAGGCATTCAGATAGGTCAAGACCTCCTCCTCAGCGCCCTAGCGCAATCTATCGTTCTTCCCAAGAGACTCGAACTCGTTGCGGAGATGAACGGATTACATTGCTTCACAATACAAGCTACGATACAAGTCATCAAAAAGGTCTCGAGCGAAGTCGAGGTCCTGATTCTCCGAGATGAGTTTGGCGAGGGTGGGTTTCCACAAAATCCACCCCAAGCATTGTCGACCGTGGCTATCACCAGAGACACCTTTCCAGCACTACGTACGCTCGTTCTGGATGGCTCCTTCCACCAAAGTACCCTCGGCGGCAGACCGCTTCCATCAGCCATGGACGTACCCACTGTGGCGAATCTCGTCTTCAGAGACACCAAAGTCGACCACCCGAGGCTACTCAATTTCATCGCACTGTTTAGAGAAACACTTCGCCAAATAACGTTTGTGGATATGTACAACGACAACTACAAGTCGATATTTGAGCTTTGTCGAAATCTCAATCTCGAGCGCTTGGAGATTACTGATGGTTATGGCGACGGCCCGCATGAGGTTGTGCTCATCACAGACGTTCCGAAAGTACTGTTCTATGGTGCCGCAAAGACTGTTATTGTCGATCCACCAGGGCATATGGATGCGCTTGCGAGACGCTGGGCAGAGAGCGAAGTTACCGATAAAACATAATGAATAGGTCTAGAGCCTACATCACCGCCAGCTCGCATGTTTTGTATGCTTTCATGTTGATGTAGGCTGCAGGCCTGTTCAATTTCGTAGATACTACTGTTGAACGAATCAAATGTCAATGCAGACACTGCGCACACCTACCGCCGGGCGCCGTGAATAGCCTAATCTCGATCGAGCTTAGTAACATGTCTTCTTTGACTGCCACTCTCCCCAGGATGCGGAAGTCGCGCCCCGCACTTCAGATGCTAAGTCTCTAACACGACGCTCCACCTTTCTCTTCGCGGATCCAGCATGATAGAACCTCCGCCTTTCGTTCACGACCCGTTGCCAGCAGGCTACATCCGTCTGCTCACTGCCGCTTCCAACAAGACCGCGGACGGCCATACCTGGAGGCTACAAACGGTTGGTCTCGACCAGTCCGACTTGGAATTCGATGCGCTATCTTATGTGTGGGGCTCTGATTCTGAACGTCTCAACATTACCCTGAACGACTGCACTGCGCAAGTGCATCGCAATTTACATACTGCACTACCGTATCTTGCGCGCCGCGGAGATACCAGGCCGGTACGGCCGATCTGGATCGACGCTATTTGTATCAATCAGGCGGATCATGAAGAGAAGATGGTGCAGATCCGGGAAATGAATCGCGTTTACAAGCAAGCGAAGAAAGTATGGGTATGGCTTGGTACTACGAAGTATCAAGAACGCATTCCTGACGCTCTCCGCTTTCTTGAGGAACTAGCAGAACACAAACGCAGCCGCCACTTTGAGAGTATCGACGATGAAGAGGAGAGACTCAATCTTGAAACCGTCGAAATGCCAGTGAAACTCGCTCTCCATCACATTGTTTCGAACGACTGGTTTGGAAGACTATGGGTCATACAAGAAGCGGCGTTGGCCCATGATCTGACCTTCCTTTGTGGGGATAACGAATGCAGCTGGGAAACCTTGAATGACGCGCTTAAAGATGGAACTTTGTGGACGTGCCTCAAATATGAGTTCAGACGATGCCACGAGTTTGCGGAACTTTGCGATGAGTCAGTGCAAATTGAACAGAGACAAAAGTATGGGAAAGGTACAATATTCTCCATCCAAATCATCGTGAAGGACTGGAGGAGTGCCAAAGACGTTGAGGCGGTCAATGCACAAGCCCTGATGCTTGCAATAACGATGATTATATCGTGTTCACATATATGCCTCAAACCGGAAGATCGTGTCCTAGGTTTGCTGGGCTTAGTGGATGCTGAGGTTCTACGACGAACCTGTCTCGATCCAGAGGTAGCATACGTTTTAGTCGAAGACCTGTTCACGCGAGCGACTATATTCGTATTTGCTTTCGCTGCGCCGCCCGACAGGGCCTATCTGTGGGAATGGTTGCGCAGCGCGTTCAAAGTGGACAAACGCACAGGTCTACCGTCCTGGGTACCGGATTTTCATAGTCCAGCGCTCCGAACCTTGGGGCCGGTTGAGTTTGAGTGCGAAAGACCGTCTCGGTACGCAGCTGCCAATAAGGTCTCATGTTCGCGGGGTGGCTTGGGTTCAGACGAGTTGATACTGACGGGTACGGTAGTCGATGAGGTCATGACAGCATTCGCAATGATACCCTCACCTAGTCCAGGACAATATCTATATCGACCTGAGGAAAGAGGGTTACTCATAGCTGTCGCAGACTGGGAAAAGATGATTGCCGATGATGCTTTGGGTCACACCTCGAGAGATTGCGAAGCGTGGCGGCAGCCGGAACTTGAAAACCATCGAAATCTACAAGGATACTGGCAGACGCTGGTGAACAACCAGAAGAACTACATGGACGAGGTGATAAGTCATGATTGGTATCTTGACTTTCAAGCGATGGCCCAGCGGCTGAAGGGAATCATGGGCGATACAGCAACCCAGAAGTACGCTTCTCTTGTTGGCACTGGGCTCCTATCACTATACTTACGGGGCATAGATTGTATACGGGCCCGAAAGATCCACAGACATACGCCTCGGTGGCAGATTCCGAAGACGTTATTAGTGCGGAGGACCGCTGTACGAACGCATACAAGTTCTTGGACGCCATGCACGAGTTTCGTAACAAGCAGCTCTTCAAGACTAAGAAAGGGCTGTTCAGTATAACGATGTCGGGCGTGCAGCCGGGTGATGTTCTAGTCGCGCTTAATGGGGCGCCGATGTTACACGTGATTAAGAAAGTCACTGCTGCTACGGACCATGAGCCGGAGATTTGGAAGTTTGTGGGTGATGCGTATGTGCATCCTCTGGAAAGTGAGAGCCATGAGATGGGTACTTTCAAAGAGAGCGAGTTCGTATTTATTTGAATGATAACGATCTTGCGAAAGGACCTGAAGGTTTCGAAGATGATAGCGCACAGCAGGGTATCGGCTCGAGCTCCAGAATTACGAGCAGCCTCCAGAAGGTTGCTTGATATTCAGCGTCTTCCTCCAGATGTCTAGCAAACTTCACTATGTGAAGCAGATGGTGAGGTGGCTGTCAGGTGTACCTGCAGTGACGCCCCCGCGCTAACCCCACCCACGAAGGCACGTGCACTGAACTTTCAGAACGCCGCTACGATTTCCCTCCCCACTCACATCCCAATCCTCCGCCCTCTTCCTGTGAAGGCATGTTATGCTTCGAACCCTATCACGATCGATAACACGAGCTATGGCATCCAACGAGCCCGCCCGCGTTCCCATCCCCAAGAATGGCGTCGACTACCGTGGCAAAGTGGTGCTTGCGCCCATGGTGCGCTCCGGCGAATTGCCCTCACGCCTCCTCGCGCTGAAGTACGGCGCCGACTTGGTCTGGGGACCCGAAACCATCGATCGCGCCATGATTGGCACCACGAAGCGACTGAACCCCCACACGAATACACTGGAGTTCTCGCGCCTGCCGACTTCGAAGATCAAAAACCCCACCCTTGATCCCGAGAATCGCGAAAGCGTCCTATACCGGATACATCCGGAGCTGGAGAAGGGAAAGCTCATATATCAGATTGGCACGGCGAATCCGGAGTTGGCAGTCCAGGCAGCCAAGATGGTCGCAGCGGATGTTGCAGGTATCGATGTCAATTCTGGCTGCCCCAAGCCATTCTCGACTTCCGGTGGTATGGGCGCAGCGCTGCTCAAGACACCAGACCTGCTTTGCAACATCCTGACGAGTCTCGTGGAAGAAGTGGGAAAACCATTCGAGATCGGCATCAGCGTCAAGATCAGAATTCTGGACACGCCAGAAGAGACAGCGGCATTGGTGAAGAGACTGGTGCGCACCGGCATCACGGGTCTCACGGTGCACTGTAGAACCACACCCATGCGGCCCAGGGAGCGCGCGATCCGAGACCAACTCAAAATGATCGGAGAGATATGCCACGAAGCAGGCGTCGCATGCCTGATGAACGGCGACGTCACATCGCGCACCGAAGCCCTCAAACTCGCGGAAGAGTTCAACGTCGACGGCGCAATGATTGCAACCGCAGCCGAAAAGAACCCCAGCGTGTTCCGACCCGACGCAGAAGGCGGGCCACACGAGTGGAAATCGCAGTGGAAGACCGTTGTCACCGAATACATGCGTTTCGCGCTACAAGTAGAGAACCGCTGGGGGAACACAAAGTATCTGCTCAGTCAGATGATACCAGGGAAGGAGAAAGCGTATCAGGCGATGAACAAGTCAAAGTGCTACACGGATTGCATCAAGGCGCTGGGCCTGGAGGACGTTGACGACTTGCTACAGCAGGCCAACGTTGTTGACGAGCATCTGGGCATACCGCAGAACGAATCGCGCGCTTCTAAGCGCGCTCGGGTCAAGGAAGCGGCAAATCCAGAAAGCGATGCTGTCGAGCGGAAGGAGAAGCGCAAGGAACGGGATGATGACGAGCCTGAGGCCAAGCGCGTCAAGGTGCCTGAAGTGGAGCCGGAAGCAACTGTGGCCATCCCACCGCAGGAGATGGCGGCTCCTGCTGCCTTGAGCGTATGAAACATGTAGAGATTTATGGGCTGGGCGTGTATCTATTTGGGCATTGCAGGCGTATTGAGCATTTACGAAAGTGTGGGGTTCCCCTCGGTGGTTGCAGCCATGATATGGGACAATGAAATTATATCAATATATACCTAGTTTTACTATGATACACCATACTTGTTTGAATGACCGATGAAGTCCTCAAGCATGTTACGTCGGTCGCTGATTTACTGAACGATGGCGAAGGCCTTACAAGATTTGGCACGTGACGGCTAGCACCACGCTAGACGGCCCCACTGCTGCGGAGGTACTGTGCCACATACTTCGCTACCGTCTTTGATGTGAACTTTCACTTTTCGCACTCATACTTAATATCCTTAGGAGACATAAAGAGCATTCCAGAACCGACAATGGCCGCATCTACAGACGCGGTTATGGCAGATATCGGCGAGGTCAGAGCACAACTCGGCAGTCTACCGAACGAGCTACTAAACCTCATTACAGACTTGGTGGTCGCTGGTGGCACGCCAATGGCGGTGATGCGACTGGTGAACAAGCGATTCAAAGCATGTGCCCAATCACACCTCGTCGAGTCTCTTCAGGCAAAGGTATGTACATCACCAGCTTCGACGCAAGCGAAGATATCGTCTGGTACGATCGGTTCAGCTGACATTGATATTTCACTATAGGCTTGGGATGTTCGTAGTCCCCATGATCTTCGTTCGTTGAGTGAAATCAGCAAGGTGAATGCCTTAGCCCAGGCGATCAAGTCTCTTCGCATGACTTGCTGTTATGAGGAATATCACGAAAATCCTGTCGCTCTCAGAGACGAAGCAAATCATCGACATAATAATGCAGTCAAAGAAGTCACGGAACGTACGGTATCGGCTCAGGACAGATTCCGGATGCAACGCAGAACCGCCCTGTTAGAAAGGTTCGCGCACGCTTCCACGCTTTCAGAAGAGATGGAAAACGACAGGGTAGCTGGGAGTAGGAACTACGCACAAAACCTCTTTCCCGAGTCCTCTTCAGAGATGAAAGTGGGTTGGCTGAGAACAATAGTTCTACCTGATCTGGAGTCGCGCTGGGAAAAATTGAAAGAGGAAAACAAGTCCATCTTCGGCAAGGTATGGACCTCTTCCATCGTATCCCCCAGATTGTATGGGGCGCATTACGACGCCGTCGCCGAATACGTCTTAGCAAAAGAGGGGTTGATAACCACCATCGCGAAGAGTTTGGCTCCATTCAAGCAATTACATACTTTCGCCTTCGTCGAACCCGAGATCGATGCCTGGAGCCGTTACGAAACGCTGTTCAAGGAAGTTGGTGAAGAGCACGGTCGCTTGCAGGGATGTAGGAGCCCATACGCCAGGGGCTCAAAGCGAGACGCAAGCTCGGAGGCCGTCGCATACAGCGGAATGATGATCGGCCTTGATGTTGCACTTCGAGCTCTACAGCGAGCCGAAATCCACCCAACAAGCTTCGCAATGCCGGTACCTTCTATTGGATTCCAATCCTTCAAGACCTCCGTTTCGAAATACGTCTTGAGCGAGGTTCTCACACAAACAAACAAGCTATGTCTCAACCACCTATCGTTGAGATTCCTACGTGTTGGGAGTAGTATCGACGACAGACCCACCTTGACAAATGTCTGGTCTCGAGAGACTCCCCCACCGGTTCACACCGAAATGCTCTTAACAAATGACAGCTTCCCTAGCCTACGCGACCTGACTTTAAATTTTAACCAGGTCAGATCTGTGAACGAACCGGGTCCAAGCATCCACGGCTGCAAGGCAGCAGAACTTGAATCCCTAACCATTCGATACGACTCCCGATTTGAAGCCTCGGCAAATGGTATTCTATGGCACGAAGACTGTTTGAACCAATTCCACCAAAGTCTCAAACACCTGAATATTATCAACGCTTTTTGCGGCAACTGGAATAACTTCTTCCGCGACATCGCAAAGGCTCAGCTGGAAACACTGGATATTGTGATTGAGGATGATGTTCTCGGGATGGTCAGGACTAAAGTGCCGTCGTATGACGACGTTGAGAATGGGTTGGTGTGTGTTCAGGAGCGGTTTAAGAAGGCCGCGGAGAAGGTGGAGGTTAGGCCGGATTGGGTTTTCGATCTTGTGAAACGGGTGTGGAAGAATCAGGATGATATTGTTGATCGGTTGTTGGAGGATAGCGATGAGGAGGGGGCGTTTGATTGGGAAGAGGACGATGACGAGGAGGAGGAAGTTGAAGAATGAGAACGCGGCATTCATGGATGAGGTTTGGATGCTTCATATATGGTATAGATTGGAAAGCAGTCGTTATACGCACTCAAATGGCGATAGCGCAAACAGATGTGGCTGCATATCACACATACATCACAAAGGCCTCCTCGCGATCGCATCTCAAAGCTCGATCTTACTCACGATTGCTAATAGCGCCAGCCACGCTACTCAGTCGTCAGCAACAGTCAAGATCAATGGGATCGTTTACGTACTTGTTCCCACAGTTAGTATAAACGCAGCAACAGTGAAGGCTGTCTGCGCATCGCCGCCTTTCGCCACCCATGTAACGCCGACAACAGTCGCCGCCACCCAAGGTATCGACCCCACGATACCGATGCGGAACCCACTCCAGCCCTCAACGAATTCGAGCGCGTGCCGCCGGTCCTTCTGCCTAAGTTGGAACACCCAGTTTATCCACTCATCGTTCGTCTGTATCGTGGCGGGATTGTTGTACGCGTAGAAGATCTCTTGGAGTGTGAACTCATCGAGCGGTACGACTATTGGCCTGCTCGTTGAAGTATACTAATGCGTTTCGACTGTGTTAGTGATAGCACCGTTGTATGATGAAGACACGCCGAAAGACTTACCGAGAGAAGCCTGATCCGTCTAAGCGTCTTTAAAGACAGGTACCGCCGCCAGAAGCTACACATGCGCTCATTATACTTCTTCCATAGAAGTTCGAAGAATTCTTTGTCCGTACTGACGATTCCATCGTTGGCTTCTATTGCGGCGCTATAGTCTTCCACCTTAGCAAACTTTGCACGACTGATGACGCGAATCTGTCGGAGGACACAACCCTGGCTACCGGGTCGATAGCATATCAGGTTCAACGAACAGGTAGGTTTAGCCGCATTGCTGGCGAGCATAGAAGCTGTGGTCGGTGGATGAAAACTCGCTTGTGGATGTGGGCCTATCGCTTCGCTCGCTGGTTGTTCACCTGTTGCATCGCCAGTGAGCTTCTTTTGCCATCCTGTTACATCCCTAGACATCATTTTGAGGGCACGTTGGATAGGGGGCAATGTCGTCTTGTTGCGTGGTCGGCTTTCATAGTGAGACTCCATCTGTTGCGGGAACGAGCCATTGGGTTCTGTCCATTGCACAACCTCATGGATTGTAGGCGGTATGATAGCTGTTGGATAACTACACGGCCGGCCGAAGACGCCTTGAAGTAAGGGGACCTGGCCTTCTTTTGCTGGAAGTGGTGGAGTCATGGTGATTCTGAACAAAAGCTTAAAACGACCGGTGCTCTGAGTATTCCAGTACAAGCACGGGCAAACAAATGTATTTGAAATGATCACTCGCGCACATTCAAGACCGAACTGGCACTGCCTCAATCTGATGTTCTTTCGGCACTGAACTGATGATATCGCATTCTTGTCGACATATCACCTACGTCGATGACATGGCCAACGACTATGGGATGCAAGGCTCCAAGACTGCTTTTGCAAGGCGGATTAGACGCACTGCCACGTATCGTACATACTGACTGGTCCTCAAAACGCCCCGATAGTGCCTTGTTGGCTGAGAAGGCGCTCCGCCACCACATGCCGGACGCTTCCCCCAGCCTAGTCGGATAGGCTCTTATCCACTAGGCCCTTTCAGAAAATAGCATACCTATCGAGCGCCACAAAATCGCGGGGTGCGTACGCACATCGAGTGAAGCCTGATGTATTGTTTATGGCTATGTCTTCGCGATTGTTGGCGCCACACAGACAGTCGGGGTGGGCTAGGCAGGGTTGATTGTATTCAAGTCGTACGGCTGCGAAATCACCGTTAGTCCCATCTAGATTACAATACCAAATCTATTCTTTTCCCTAAAGCTATCCATGTTCTTGATGATAAGCCTCTTCGGCAAAAAAGGCGAAATCGATCGAGAATCCCACATACATAGTCAAGAACACCAAGCCCCAGTGCTTGCGTGCGAAATGAGAAGTCTCCCCATCATGCATCACTCAAATCTGACTGGGGAGCGGGTAGGTACCTACTTGCTAGCAAAGAAGACCCATAGTGGTGTTATGATTGCGCGTCGTGGACTCAGTGTGTTGGTTGGAATCTGGCGCCGGCTCGGGTATAGCGTAGGCCCAAAGTCGGTACACCAGGGCATGTGCAGCGATCTCGTTGAACAAGAACGAATGTGATCTGCTGGATTCAGCCGGCGGCCGTAGTGTACACAGATGTTTCATCTGGGTTCATGTCTCCAGTCTCGGCGTATGCCTTCCCGAGCTCAGAATCGTGAATAGTGTTTCCAACGTATTCTACTTCCACTCGGTAACGCTCGCCGTTTGAATTAACGTCAATATCGTCGAAATAGATGGTTATGCGTAGACGACGAAGTGCAACGTTGACACAGCCCTGACTTGTTACGAGAGGAACTGTCATTTGATCTATGCGGTTGTTCTGTTCTAGTGTCAATCGCGGTGTTGGCCCATCGCCTTGCATCTCCACGCTTTGCAGTCTGAGCTCTTTCCTGGAGTCGTCCAGTACAATTATTGGCGAGAGTCTGGAGGAGGTACTGAACAACCGCATTGTCAAAGCAAAGCGGTCTGAGGTAGCTATAGTATTTGCAATGATTGTTCCAGGCCTCCACGGGTGATCGTGACTGTCGTCGGTAGTGCAAGTCCATGATGACATCTGGAAGGTGGAACTGCGCAGCTCAAAAAAGACATACTTCCGAGCTGCATCCGCAGAAGGCTTGAGATTGTCGATTACGATAAAAGTCTTGGGGTCGAAGTGAGAACTACTGAGGGAACTCATATCCACAAGTATAGGAGCCGCGTGGCAGCGAGCATAGCTTGATGTTGCGGGTGACGTAAGAATGATCCCGAAGAGGTGGGATTCACATCCTACTAGAGTCAGAGGCAGAAGTGCGACCAGTTCGTTCGTTTCGCCAGGAGTAGTCTCGGGAATGGAGCCAAATCTTTTGATACTGAAGCCCGATTTGATCTCGATCCGAGGCACACTGAGCTTGACGCCGCCTTTGACCAACCGCAGAGAAGGATCGCTGAATGCATTCCCCTGTGCGTCAAGGGCACTTCGAATTTGAGAATACGCGACGCAACCAGGAAGATATGTCGGCTCTTGCGTGCAGTCTTTACAGAGACTTTTCCTGCAAAATTGCCTGGCCGAGTTCGCGAGCAATGACACGTCAGCGGATTCGCTGATCTTGGCGAAGAGTAACAGCGTATAGTCAGCTTCACTATGAAACACTGCTTGCTGCAACCTGCGGAACGCCCTACGTTCCCCCTCTCCATAGAGCAATGGCATGTTTGCATCGAAAAAGCCCAGCAGACAATAAGCCACATCTTCGGACCTAGTGACGACTCTATGCGCAGCCCATGACATCTTCTCTGCAGCGGAGTACTTGTCTTTCCAATCGAACCAGTGATCCTGAAGAGCGGCAAGGTCGATCCCAGTGATATGTGCAATTTCAGCGGCTCGCGAAGCCTTCGAGCCGATCAGCGTCCAGTCGGCTGCGTAAAACTCGACACTGTATGGTGCCAGTAATTCTTGCAAGGTCCAGCCGCGAGTAAACCATGAGCTCTGTCTGAATGCATCAGATTGAGCCTCGTCATCTGGAACGTCGCTCAAGTAAGCGTAACAAATCTGAGCCTCCTGATACCACCGAAACATTGAGTTAATCGCCTCTTGAAGCTCCGTAGAGCTGGATTTGTCGATGCAACAGCTGTCTATCCAGACCCAATCGAATCCATCTTTGATCGCGAGTGCGCAAGTGCCCTGCACTTTCGAAAATCCACGTTTGGTCCGGGCTGGACTGTTAATGTTGCTGATTGCTCCGTTCATCACGTCCTCGAATAGAGCTCTTCTGCTTCCCACCGATGTGAGAGAATGACATACTCGGGCATCTCGCCGATGAATGTCGTGAGCGTTAGGGTCCGCGGGTTGAGTAGCCTCATATTCGCGCGCTTGCCGTACTGGGCTCGGTGTGTGATCAAGCTTATCCACCGTGATTGTTGGTGTTATGCGACCAAGTTAAGCATTCTGGGTGTTGACGGCCAGAATGATTGTGGAATGGGAAAGATCTGGAGTCATGGTGGTGGCCTCGGATGTGCCAAAGCCGCCATCATGTTGCAGGTAAGCCACAGCCACCCGTGGACCTGGGCCTGCATGCGAGGCAAAATGCAATTGAAGCCCGCGCCTCCACTGATCGCTATGCACAACATCGACGCATACTAATCCATACCCATAGTGATCTCTGAGTGCGATGGTTGAGTGGCGACGAAATCGCGACCGGATGTGTAGACTTCCGCCGTGTGAACCCGCATGAACGCCCGCGCGTGCGGGGGGAAACGCGACAATATGAACGCGCTAATCTCTCACGTGACCTGTTGCAGCTTCTTCGGTTGCACCCTAGTCCCAGGTGCTGCCTTGACTGAGTAACTAACTGCGACAAGCCACAGCGTCGCTCCAAAAGCACAGGCATGTCTATAGCAACGTGCATCAAGAGCAGACTTCGATGACTGCTGGAGATGCACAGCCGCGAGGGACGCGCGAGCTAGGCTGCCTCCAGATGTCAGGTTTTCCCCGCCTCCCAATACTCACCGGCCGCGTTCCACAGCCTCAATGTGCCTGCGATACAGACACAAAACCTGAGCATGCGTCCACAAGCGGAACTTTGTGAATGCACGGATGACGTGGCGCAATTCTGGCCCCCAACTGATGCAGACAAAGCTCCGCCTGGATGCAGAGCCGCGGCCCCTTCGGAAAATCGAAGGCTCGCTTCCTTCATCCCGTCTTATTCACGACGACGCGTTCCGAACCCCTAGCATCAACGCGTTTCTCGCCAGCTGCTCAAGAGCCAATATATTTCTAGGGCTTTGATGTCGGGCACGCTACGCACATCTGCATCAATGGCCAACAACGGCGTCAACGCAGTCGAGATGGCGACTATCGCCGGGGCTCCAAAAGCTACCAAAACATCCGTTGCTGCAACTTCGAGGACGGTCACCCCAAGCCCAAACATGCTGAAGAACGAAGAGCCACCGATTGGATCGTGGCTCTGTGCTAATGGTAGATGATGTTTTGTCCAAGTGCCATTTGCAGGTGTCGTTAATCTCGAGCAGGCAAATATCGCGACTATATCGAGGCCTTGAGCGGGTCCAATCCTGGCCTGAAGAAGGCCGATCCAAACAACAAGGATGAGCCACTGAAATATGGCAACGCGCTCGTCGCGCTTTTAGACGCTCCTCCTACTGGGGCATCTGGTTTCACAACGACTGAATTCAGAGGCGAGAAAGAGCTTGTTAAGCACTTTGAATCCGCGGGGCACAACCACAACCGTCGGCGCATTTATATCATGGAGGGTCTAGCACCTGATTTTGTCGCAGCCGTCGGCGGTCACTTTTTCATGGATCCTTCATTCTTCCAGCGGCAAGAGAGGACATGTGTCTGGAGCAACGACTTTACACCAGTGAGCGATGCATTACCCCAACCCAGCTTGCTAGACCCGCAGCAGGCTTTTCAGCTCCAGTATTGCGAGTTACGGCAATTCAACAAAGCGCTTGAAAATCGCTATTTCTTCTGCAAGCGGACGAGACGGCATGTGGGCATGACAGCATCCCGCCAAAAAGAGAATAGCACGATCGGGATACTAAGGCGTAAAGTCGGGTGGTGGTCCCGCAAGACCGAGAATGGCGGTTGGGATGGTACGTGATATTCGCACACTTGATCCTAGAATCACTCTTGAAGATATCTCGCTGCTTCAGAAGCTCGACACCGGCTCGGAAGACAGGATCAGCAAGGAGCAGTCCGAGTGATCTTAGCTGACTCACGCAGTGGTTATATTGTGTGATCCCCAGCTGGTTGACCTACACCCTCCGCCCAAAGAAGTCAATCCCGATGACAACACGCTACGTGAAATCGACAAAGGCGACGTACTTGAGAACGCACCCTTTCAGGAAGGCTATGTTGACTTCATTCCACCCGTCCCTCATCATCAGATACATACCAAGACTAAACATCCGCATAAGTCAATGCTGCACGACCTCCTCCACTACTATCAGCAACATTTTGATCTGTTTTCCGAGGACGAGTGGGCCACGCCCAGTACATCAGCAATCTTCCTAAAGAAGGTAGTCGCCGCGCACTACCTTCAGCTTGTTGACTACATCAAGGCCATGCTACCTTCGCTGGAGCTTCGGCTTACTACTGCTTGGGTTGAGGAACAGGGTCAATGGAAAAGCTTGCAGACTATCTCGCGACGGTGCGGCAACTATCGCGACGATCTCGAAGATGCATTACTCAGTCTCGACTATTCGCTAGATGGGCAGATCAACAAGTCCGTCAGGTTGCATTCGCACACGTGGAAAGACTGCGAGAAGGACTTCCAATACGTCTACTTCCGTCTCAAGATCCTTAAGGAACGGGCCGATAATTTGATACAAGCCATGACTGGACTGGCATCGATCGCGGGTAATCGCCAGAACTTGGAGGAGGCCAAGCGCGTGAAACGACTCAACCTTCTCGCCCTTCTGTTCATTCCCTTGGCATACACAAGTAGCTTGTTCAGTATGCAAGACAACTACGCACCGGTAAGATCACCATGAACATATTGTTAGTGAAAAATTACTAACTTCTCATGCGTGGTCTCAGAACCGAAGTGAATTCTGGGTCTATTGGGTCAGCGCTATCGGGGTTGTCGCATTCACCGCCGTCATCACGTGGATCCTGGACAATGCTCTGAACGACGAAGCGCAGTGGACATGGAGACCAATCACCTTCCTCAAATTCTGGGGCGTCGACGAGCAACAACCCCAACCCGGGAAAGTGAAGAGAAAAATGACTAATCTCTACCGGCTATGATAGACATGTTTGCTATGATCAAATGCACAGGGCCTTCTGCACTGTCTGCGGCTCCAAGACTTTCACATCAGCAGATTGATTGCAACGTCTCGCTAAAACCGAGCTACTTCCATGGGAAGGTTTCCATTGTCAAAGCACTTGGTGGGTGCTAGGCGCATGTTCGCGCACTTTCCCTTCCGTTCCCAGAGGAGATTAATACCTTTGTCCTAGCATTCCTAGAACTTCATCCTTCATTCTTATCTTAATTGTAGGCTTTATCGATATCACACCAACGACGTCATCATGAATGAAGTCTCGCGACCATCTGCTCGCCTCTGCTGCATGTGCCACCGTAAAGCTACATGCATGTGCACGACATGCAAATGCAGCTGTTACTGCTCGACAGAGTGTCTGCAAGACGACAAATCCGTTCATGAACTACTCTGCAGGGCGTATCGAAATTACAAGACACAGATTCCTCCTGAACCTGCACTGTTCAAGGCCATCTTCTTCAACGCCAGAAAGGCCGCGCCCGAGTGGGTGTGGGTGAGGATGACATCGCAGCCCGGCGACGAAGGCTTTGCTCTTCAATACTATCTAATGCCAGATGATCAGAGCAAGGGACTCGTCGGCTGCGGCAACTCATCCTACAATTGCGTTTTGAAACGCTCGCATGATACTATCCACATGCTTGGCTGCCTTGAAGCCTGCCCAGCATTACCGGATCAACTATGCTTGACTGGCGTCCCAAACAAGAGCATGGCTAACATCGCACCCGAGCTGCTGCAATGTTGCAAAGGCAACATACTCTTCATCGGCCATCACGCACATCTCGACATGACCAGTTTCCGGCATATCATCGACATGATGTATATGGAGTACGACAAATCACTCCGCCAACTTGGAGACAATAGAAAAGGCTACATCCCTGGTGTCCGTATCAACTGCATCGGCGATCGACTAAGTAGTGATCGCCCATCACTTGAGGCTTGCAAAGTCACCGACGGCTTCTACGAAAAGGACGAGAATCTTCTCATGTGGATTGCGTCCAAGCTCGGTATCGATCTTTTTGCTCGCACTATACCCCCAGCGCTACCCTGGAGAAATCGGAGCGGCGGTTACAAAGGCTTGCATCATGCCTGGAACTTCGGCTTCGTACAACTCAACCCTGCTGAGTGGTCAGCTAGCCTGGGTAGTGTTTACGTCGCGAGGAAGGACAAGAGGCCATTGCTTGTCGCTCACATTGCGGCTCTGATGGCATATCTATACTCCATCGGCAGTGAACAAGTTCAAGAGATTCTAGACAGCAAGGAGTCGTGGAACCTGGCCTCCAAATTCGACGAGGCTTTCGAGATGCACAATGACCTGTTACTCCACAGAGCTTCCAAAGAGAATTTTGAGCGGTTTTGGACGAAGTGGATGGAAAAAGAAGGGCGAAAGAAGTATGGGGATGTCTCTTCACCATATGCGGTCTAGTGCGCGAATGCTTTCATCGCGTCACGAGGCTTCCAGATCGCGTCTAGAAGCACCACCCGTGTGTTTGAGAAGTAGGATGTTTGTCGTTGCAGGATGCAAAAGGATCCGGCGTCCAGGTCCGTCGGCCTGGTGCGAATGGTGTTCCGGTAAATGTGGCTGCACTAGAACTTCGCCCATAGTGTTCTGCCGCTCTACTTAATTAGCCAATATGTATAGGGCGCACTAGCGCGTATGTGCCATGATACATATAAAATATACTGATGTGCATCGTGAGCATTGGTAGTGTCTTGGGAATCTCAGTCCAAAATGCAGTTCCTCTGCATACTCCCCTTCCTGGGCCTCGCCCTTGCGACACCATTACACCCACCTCCACCACCACATGCACCTGTACCCCAACCTCCACCACCATCTCCGCCTTCTCGCCCACACCCTCACGCTCCCAAGTCCCACATCAAATGCCCCATAATCTTCGACGGCCGCATCACCAAAAACCTAACCCTCCACTCCTTCGACACACCCGCCGGCTCCACCCCCTACAACCCCGACTACGTAAAAGGCGAAAACCGCACCTGGTCATCCATCCTCCTCTTCCCCAAGACCACACCTCCATCGCGCTTCGACAACCCCCTCCAACACAAACCAATCGAAGTAACAATCGACGACGGCTCCCTCTTCCGCGCAGGCGAAAACCTGCAAACGGGGTTCCGCCGCGCAGGCCTCTTGTTCAAAGACGATCTCAACGACGCCGGAGCTGATGCATCGGATAATGGGGTTGTGACGTTCCACTGGAGTATCCGGCAGGATGAACACAGGCCGCTGAATCTGAGCCATGAGTATATGAATGTGTGGCATGAGAAGGGTGATTACAGCGGTAACCAATTCATGTTTGTGGGCGGTGTTGTATTGGTGGGTGATGGCGGGACTGGTGTGGATACGAAGAAAGAGAGGGAGATGTGGAAGGTGCAGAATGCGAAGAACGAGTTTGTGTTCCAGACGAGGATAGTGAGAGGGGAGTGGCAGAATTTTGGGGTGCAGTTGGATTATGTTAGGGAGTAAGTGGCTTTCTTTCTTTCTGTGCAGTGAGCTTTGGGTGAGGATTTGGAGGCTAACGAGATGATTAGTACGATCAAGGTTTATTACTCTGCGGGTAATAAGCCGTTGAAGGCGGTGACGAAGGCTACGCCTAATAGCAATGCTGGTGGTGGGCAGTTGCAGATTGGTATTGCGAAGAAGCCGACTGAGACTGAGACTGTGGTGTATGATGGGTATCAGGAGCACGTTCCACTCCGCGGCGAAGGACAAATCTACGGCGGTATCTTTGTGGAAGATAGCTCGAGTGGGTGTGTCAGTCTTTGAGCTCAGCAAGAAGGTAGCGGGTAGTTGGTTACATGGAAGGAGGTGCAATTCGTTCACTTCGTTCTGGCTCCGTCATACATACTATTGAACATCTGAGTGTACATACTGTGAGAATACCGATCTTCTCAATTTGAATGAGACGTCTGTTAATATAAGCCATGTCTGCATAGAACGTCCCTACACCCCTGCCCCCTAGACTTCATAAGGCGAGGGAACATGCCCATACTTCGCAGTTCCGACAGTCTGCATGAAGTAAGCGAAGTATGCCTCAAAATCCTCTTTTGACGCGTCATTAAGCAACTGCACCGAACTCGCTTGATAGTTGATGTCGAGGGACGGAGTCAGGTCTACATCTGGGCCATAGGGTCCACCAAGCAAGTGATACAGTTGTGCGCTACCCCATCCTACGCGTTGACAATAATCACGAAGTGCTTCCACATGAGCGCGATGCAGCGGCTTGAGATCTTTTCGGACGATCATGATCGAGCCTGTCCGGACCGTCCACTGTGCCGGACTAAGTATCTGCGCGTCGCTATTGTGTGAGTATTTGAGATACCCATTGCCGTCAACGTGACGCCTCCTCCACGGCAATGCCACCTTCATCTGTTGTACTTCGAGTGGGATATCGATCTTCTCACCGACAGGGATCTTGAAGGGACGATTACTGGCGAAGAATGTGTCGTCCACGTTGGTCTTTTCATATTGTGGACGTTTACTGACGTCGGTGTCACCGTGACAATTTACACGAACGCCTTCGATGGGACCTGACATGTTCTTCTCGGCGTTGATGTTGGCATCGTACCAGTTGGTACGCAAATCATCGATAATGTGCCGGAGAGACATCATATCAAGGTGAAATCGTCGACCGCAGAACAGCAGAGGTCCGCGGTAGCCATCGAAAAGCTCCGGGTCAATGGTCCTCAGGCTAGTACTTGGACGGCCTGTGAGCCTCACCTGGCCGTTTGCATTTGGAGCGAGAAACCCCAGCATACCGATTCGTTCATGGGGTCGCTTGAGGATGCGATTTTCGACAATATCAAGTATTACCTGCGGGGATCCGTATCCAAGAGACGGTGGTGGAAATGGTACGGTCTCAAACCCTATGGTATAAGCATGGCCAGGCGTGGTACAGTGATCGATGCGTAACCAGAGAAAGATAGGTCCCTCCCCATCTTCAGAAAAGAAGATTGCGCGGAAGTGGTTCGGAGAAGGAGCTAGGCTTTGGTCAAAGTCCTGGTACGAGTTACAAAGAAGCTTGTGAGTTCGCCAGTCGTCTTTTTGGCAGACCTTTGAACAATACCGGGAGCAGTGACATTGGCTGCACTTCCAAGTTCCGGGATTGGGACACATCGAGCAGAGGGGTGAGCTTGACGAAGCTTGGATGGTGGATAGGCTCGCCATCGGCATGTGGTCTAGTGCAGTTTGTGAAGGAAGTGAAGGAGTCGTGGGTTTACTGGGATATTTGTAGACTGGGAATATGGTTTGCGAGATCACTGCAGAGCGCACGAGACACATCAGGAGACAAGCTCCGCTCAGCGTGGTGTTGTTCCTGGGCATCTGACAGCAGTATGGATGTTTGAAGAACAGAAGGGAATCACACGGCGAATGTGATAGTGGAAAACAATGTGAGTAGGAATAAAGGTATCGTCACTTGGTATATACAGAAGAAGAAGTTTAAAAGGAAATCGTTACCAGAGTCAAGCAGCTCAATGCACCATGCTCTTTCCAATCTCACTTTCCCAGTTGTTCGCCCTCTCAAAACCATTTGAGTGGCTCTGGTAGTCCATCATAGCCTGCATGACCTCGTCTCTTGACGTGACGACAAAGGGCCCGTATTGTACAATGGGCTGGTCGAGCGGCAGGCCAGCGACGAGAATGAACCGTGATGGCTTCTCAGCACCCTCCTCTACAGATGCTTCGATGCTGTCGCCGTTGCTCTCGAAAACAACGTTGTGGTATTGTTCGATGGGTCGCGATACGCCGTCGGACGAGAAGATGGTGGTGCCGTTGAGGAGGTATGCAAAGGCGTTCCAGCCCTTGGGTAGGGGCTGCTTGACTTTGCCGCCGGGCTGGACTGTGAAGTCGAGCAGCCAGACGGGTGTGTATGCCAGTTCCTTCAGACTCTCGGTGCCGTAGGCTTGTCCACTGATGACCTTGACGTGCACCTTGCCGTCGTCCGCGGTTGTCTCGGGGATCTCCTTCGCTCGTAGGTCTCGGTAGCGGGGTTCGCATGACTTCAGCTCCTTTGGCAGATCGACCCAGAGTTGCATTCCGACGTTGGGCGCGCCGTCCTCGTTTTGGCGCGGCATCTCGGCGTGGACGATGCCGCGACCGGCTGTCATGAATTGCAGGTCGCCCTGCTCGATAGTTCCCTTGTTTCCGGCGAAGTCTTCGTGGTCGACGGCGCCGGAGAGGAGGTATGTGATGGTTTCTTGGCCTGAATCAAGAGTCAGTTTCATGATCACGGGCATGTCATTTGCGCGCATCACGTACCTCGGTGTGGGTGGTCAGGGAAGCCTGCGCCTGGTGGAATGGCAAAGTGGTCAAGCATGAGGAAGGGAGAGAAGTTGCGGAGTTTGGGGGTGCCAACACTCCTCCTCACTTTCGCTCCCGCGCCTTCAGATTGCTCGACAGCAAGGAAGGACTTTGCGATCTTGCGGGGCGCATCCGTGGTGAACTTCTCGTCGGGGATGACGGGCAGTCCGCGGAACATGGTCGACATATCTTCGGTGGCGTTGTAGTAGGGCTTGGTGGTCTTTGCAAGGGATGTCACGTGTCTCAGTGACTGTGTAAGTCTCGAGAGCATGTACTCGTTGTTGTATACTGCAAGTGCAATTGCGATGATGGCGATGAGGAGGGAGGAAAGCGTCTTCATGGGTCGGGCGGGGGCGCTTTATGCAGAACGCAACTAGGGTGACGAGAATGTTCGAGGGAGGCTTCGGAGCGGTCTGGTGTGGGTGCCATCATGAGCTTGCTTGGTTGGTAAAGGTTTAACAATCCGGCGCGTGTTGACTTGAGGCTTGGCGGAGAATGCGCTGCTTATGTCGAGCATGACCAAGCAACACTAATGCGAAGGTGGGGCGGTTGACGGAAGGTGGAGCTTCCGTTGGCCAATCAGACAAGACGTCATGACGGAAGACATTCCGTCATCTCTCGCGTCTTAACACCCAGCATTCCTTTGAGTCTGCTCATCGCGTCGCATTGCTGTCGGTTTCTATCATGTTTTTACTCCCCGTACTCAAATCCGTTGAACTGTGTGCAGATACGTCCGCGATGTTCTCCCACACCCGACATCCGACACGGTCGCGTATCACGGTATTCCGGTGACATCTGGCAACGGCTAGTTCAAGAAGCTTCTGTCTTGTATCAGCTTTCCTTTTCTCTGGAGTTCGTGAATTGCGGTATCCTTTGCCATGATGTACTTCTTCTTCCTTCGCTCTCACATCGAGCGTCTGGGCTCTTCGGCCCGCTTCCCATGGAGCTTCTGGTACGTGCAAACGCTCGTACCCTGCAAACACCTGCAAGTATTTCCTTGGAATGTCGCAATGTCGCACGAAACTCACCTTCGTAGGTTGCAACGGGCGTTTTATTACTCATCTAGTTGCTCGCGCACATTCCAACACTATTCCCAGACGCGCAAACTCCTACAGTTTCCACGCCCAATCCCAGGTTCAAAGTGACGGACATACGGAGATACCTCGTCGTCAAGGCTCCGCACGAAGAGTGTAACGAGGATCTTGAAGAGGAGGAGGACTTCAGTGTATCTCAGACATCTACTGTGGCCTATGGTCAAGAGCCCTTCGAATTCTTCAGTAAAAGAGTCGCGGAACTTTGCGCCACTCTATTTCCCAGAGCAACCTGTCGAATCGAGCATATGCGCGGTGGAGGTTATAGTCGAATCACAGCTATCACTGTTACGCCTTTACCTCCTCGCACTTTTACTATCCCTTGGATACATTCATTCCTGACCAGTGACGAAGACTACGTCAAAGCTTACACGCCAAAGCACCACATACTCAGGAGCGCACGAAGGGAGCCTTCAAGCGATGACTTGGACATGAGGTATGATGTGGCTACTCTGACGTTCGCGCGCATCAATTTCGGCATTGTCGTACCTCCCATCATACATCTAGATGAGCACCCGCGTAATCCTCTGTCACGGTCATATACCATACAGAGCCGTCTTCCCGGCCAGAATCTCAACACGATATGGCCTGAGCTTACGATCAACCAAAGGATGAACACTGTGCACCTTGTTGTCCGTGTTATGGAGAAATTGCATACTATTCAGCAACCCAAGGCAGGTATCATCGCCAGTCTAACAAGACTACCACATTCTCCCAACAAGGTGACACCAGAAATTCAAGCCTTCGGCACCAGTCATAACCCGGTATCAGCTTTTTCAGGACCCGCGGACCGCCCCGCTGAGGCTATGACTACACGCCAGTTCTTGGTACACCAGAGGTATCAATGGGAGAAACTAGAGGAAGATCTTGACGACGGCGACATTGCTCCATGGTACTGCTTCGATATCATCATACAGACGCTATACGATAAGGGCTTTATCCCAGATGAAGAAAAGTTTTACTTCTGTCATCTCGACCTCTACCCGCGGAACATGCTCGTAGAGATTGAACACGACTCATCGCTCTCGCTTACCGGATTACTGGACTGGGATGCTCAGTTCGCGCACTTCTGCCCCAAATTCGTCGCTTATCGTGCTCCTTTCTGGCTATGGGTATCAGGCGGTCACGAGTACAATGAGATGATAGCTGCAGATGAGCCAAAAGATGTTGGTTACCGGCGATTGAAGAGCTCGTGGGAGGAAGCGGCGAGTGACGAGTGGAAGCGATACGCCTACGAACCGGAGTATATGATCGCGAGGAGAATGTTCGCTTTACTCCGAGACGGCATTCGTAACGATGGAGATAAAGAGGAAGCCAGGTCTATTGTAGATGAATGGCAGAAGCTGCATTACGATCAGAGGCTCGCCACAGCATTGGCGAGTGATGAGAGCGATGGCGCCGAGACAACTATGAACGTTGAGGACCTAGATGAAGGCATATACACGTTGGCTCAACAAGAACTTGAGCTCGACCATGTGCTGGACGAAGATGACATGGCTTTCGATCCGCATGACTAAGGACTGCAATACAGTAGGGTGGTGGTCGAAGAAGACTGCGATCTGGCAGTCTGCACTCAATAGCATATCTTGATCTTGGCAGAATACCTCTTGTTGTGCATGATGCATCCCGTAGATGATGTGTCGCATGGCCAATCACAAGCTCACGACAAGAGTGGGGTGAAGGGTTTCCCAATCCCACTTGCCCCATCTTCGACAACACAACGCTGTTATCGATAGCGCGACACTTGTGAGGGGTAACCAACATACTGGGGTATGAGAATGACGGAAGGCGGAAGTAACGATCAAATGGTGGTATAATTGAAGGCGACACGTCTCGATAGCTCTGCAGTTTACCAGAAACCACACCCAACGTGACCAAGTACCAAGGTATCATCACATCCCAACCATTGGGTCACTTCAATCACACGCTTTACCTTGATAACACATTGAACTTGACCGAGAGAGCTCATCATGCCAAACGCCGGTGAAGCGCCTCCCATCCTAGACTTCTCAAGTACGTTGACCCGCCAGACAGCCTTAGCAGTCGAAATCTTGCTTACGAGGCCTAGAATTCTACCAAAACGACCCAGCATCCAAGAAACAGCTCGTAGATGAAGTGCGAAACTGTTGCCTGCACAATGGCTTCTTCCAGATCACGGGTCACAACGTGCCAATCGAGCTGCAAAACAGGATGATGGACTGGAACAAGAAGTTTTTCGATCTACCACTGGAAGAAAAGAACAAGGTGAACAAAGGTAGGTCCAGCCATACCATCAAGCAACGTCGTCTAGAACATTAGCTCATCCACATCTCCATCCAGACACAACCAACACCTGGAACCGAGGCTACGAGCTCCTCAAATCGCAAATCCTCGAAGAAGGCACCTCCCCCGAACTAAAAGAAGGTTTCTACATCGGCGACGAGATCCCAAAAACCCACCCCTACTTCATCAACAAGAAGCTCAACTCCGGACCCAACATGTGGCCGTCCGCCGCCTCCCTCCCAAATGTCCAAGACTTCAAAGCCACATCTTTGGAATACTACGCCCGCGTCGTCTCACTCGCAAAAGACATCTTGAAAGTCCTCGCCTTGACACTCGATTTGGAAGAAACCTACTTCGACGCCTTCGCCACGGGCGCAGTAGCAACAATGCGCCTCCTCCACTACCCGCCCCAACCACCCTCCAGCCCCACACACCTCACCCGCGGCATAGGCGCCCACACAGATTTCGGCTGCATAACCATCCTCCTCCAGGACACCGTCTCCGGTCTCCAAGTCTACGACCACGCGACGAAAGAATGGCTCGACGTAACCCCCACACCCGGTGCTTTCGTCATCAACCTGGGTAACCTGATGATGCGGTGGAGTAACGACCGGTATATATCTAATCTGCATCGTGTTATCAATGTGAGTGGGCAGGAGAGGTATAGTATTCCTGTGTTTTTTAGCGGTAATCCGGAGTATGTGGTTGGGTGTTTGCCGAATTGTAGGGGGGAGGGGGAGGGGGAGAGGTGGGGGGAGATTACGGTTGAAGAGGCGATTTTGGGGGGGTATAGGGAGAGTTATGGGAGGGCGGAGGCTTGGAAGAAGGGTCAGGAGGAGACGAGGAAAGGGGATGATGCGGTTGTTAGGCAGGAGGTGGTTGTTGCGTAGGGCTGTCGCGACATCCAGCGAATGAATTTTAGATGGGCTGTCACCATAACCACCGCGTAATGTCTTGTGAAATTATGCTTGATACCTCGGTATCGCACTTGACGTGAAGTTTCATGTGTTGGTCCGATGTTCGCGCTGCATTCCGTGTTAAGAAGTAGCCGGCAGAATCTAACCGTCCGACGACAAGGGTTCGGTAAAAACTGGCCGCATTTTTGGCCCCCAAACGCTTACACGCTAGAACGCCAACATCTCTGATGGCTTCGCATTGGCTCGCAACAACACCAGGCGAAGTCTGGACACCAGTTGTGAGAGATCTGCCTCCAATTACCCTGTTATCGGTCTCTTAGCGGTACTGTTGGCTCTTCGACTTGCATGCTAGCGGCCTAATTATAGGCCGCGGATACAAGCGAGATGCTCTTGTACACATTCACCCTAGGAGTACTCTATACTTAGACTTCTGCTTTTCCAGATGCCTAAAGACTGGTGTCTGGCTTCGGCACGTCATATGCCAGGTAGCCCTGGATCTGCCTGTTCATGCTGTAATAAGTTGTGGGGGGTTTGTGACTGGTCTGATCGTATAGCCTTACACCTTTATCAAAGTATCGCATGCAGGAAATCGCTATGAGAGAGGCTCTAAGAGTGTGAAAGAACATTAGATTGCATACTATCATCATCGACATTGTCTTTTGGGTATACTTGGCCGCGGGTCAAGCACGCGAAGGATGGGACCGAGGAGCTGGTGACCGGTCGCTGTGGCTTCAATACCACGGTGAGAGTAGATGCCCTCTGAAGTGGTATCGCGTCGGGCGAATGCTGATAGCATGCTAGTCGTGCGAGAAGCCGTCTCTGGGGTATGTGATGATGATATTCAGGAAGTGGTCCACCACATCCGCCGAAGAATACCACACAATTCTTCATCGTCGCCATGGTCGCCCAGCACATTAACCCCGATATGCTTACCAAGATGTGCCAGTTCACTAGCACATACTATCGTCAACCATATCCTGCTCTTGAAGAAGTACAACACACAGGCGCTGGCAAATACATTCTCGTCACAGAAGCTTCGGAGGAAATCGGTAGAGCGATTGCTTCATCGTGGGCAAAGGCAGGGGCCGCGGGTATCGCCATTAGTAGTCGCGATGCAGACGATCTCGAGCCCGTCATCGTCAGGCTGAAGCGCCTCAACCCCACAACACAGGTCCTGGCGATGGCTTGCGACACCACAAAATCGACCGAGGTCGCCAGACTCTTTGATGCGATAAGAGAGGAGTTTGGCCAACTCGATGTAGTCATCGCAAATGTCGGTACCGCACATCTCAGCAGGATAGATGAGACCGACGATAACGACGAGTGGTGGGCCGATATGACGACGAATTTTCGCAGCACACATCTTCCCGCCCATCAATACATCCGCACGTTTGGTCCGGCACCAATTGGAACATTTATCTCCATCACGTCTGGTGCGGGCACAGTCGTGACCCCCGGTCTCTCTTCCTATGGCATTGCGAAACAAACCGACCGCCGGCTCATCGAGTTCCTCAACGTCGAATATCCAGATATGAAGGCTTTCTCGCTAGATCCTGGGGTTGTGAGGACGGAGAGGACGAGCGATATGTTCAGGCCCTTTGCGTTCGATAGTCCAGAGCTAGTCGGCATGTTTTCGGTTTGGTTGGGTGGAGGCAGAGCGGACAGGCTCAAGGGCAGCTATGTGCATGCTACATGGGATATAGAAGAGTTGGAAAGAGAAGCAGACGATATAGTCGGGCGGGGTACACTGAAAGATAAGTTTCCAGGGAGCTTGCTGGTACAAGAGGGTGTAACCTGGGGAAACCAGATCCATGGACCGGAAAGACATGTGTAACTCTTCATTGCGAGGAGATTACGCATGCGGATGGATGGTCGATTCGAGAGCTGCCTCGCACAAGAAATGCGAAACCAATGCTGATGCCACATTGGTGCTGCTCGAGCCGTGATGTCCCGATGTGTGCAATAACCTCGAAGCTACAAATCAACAATGGTGTGTACTGGTCCGGCCAGACGCTTCTCAACCTCTTCCCATGATGCCATCCTCCGCTTGTCTTGACTCCATAGGGTACCACCTACTCCGTGATTCCATATCCAGGCATCGCATAAAATGATATCGTCCTCATCGCCGTAAAAGCTGACCGGTACATCAGCTTCCCAGATACGTACTGTATCTTGATGTGTCCAGTTCCGGGTCTTGTTTGGTGTCCGATGGTTCGAGTTCACATCGACAAGAACAACGTCCAGGCTTTTCCCATCGTATGATCTGAATATTGTGTCGATGGTCTTCGCTGCTAGATTGACGGGTCGCATCATCACAAGCGTTTGCAAGGATGGGGTCTTGAGACAGAATGCTATTTCTAGATCCGACATCTCTTGGGTAGTGATGGCAAGCCGTTTGAGATTGGGCGGTGGGTGTCGAAAGTAGTTGACCACATCGTAGCTGACAATGAGCTCTTCAAGGTGCAACATGTGTGAAAAGACCCTGTTCTCGGTGATATGCGGCCTGATTTGCTCAACCTCACTTGGTGGTGCATAGATCGGAGAGAGATCTAAAGCCAGTCTCTTGAGTGAAAATCCTGTCAGATTACAGAAATCTATGACCTGTGGTAGTCGCACCAAAGGCGTGTAGTTCCCTTCGATCGGCCTGTGCACCTCAGTTGGGGAGATGAATATTGATGTTATATGGCGAAGTGCCTGGGCTTCCATGAACAGTTTTTCGTTTCGCCCGGCTTCTCCATAGTTGAGAGCTTGTGGGTGATGCCCCAGGTTTAGTCCGAGTGTTCTGCGAAATCGCGCATAGGTCGTGCAACTGTCCAGATACACACAATGCGAGTAAAGATACTGTGTGGCTATAAGATAAGTGTTGCGCGATACCAAAGTGAGTGCGCGCAACGTCTTGGTGATGATGTTTGACGGTGCATACGCTACAGGATGCTGGCCGCTGTGGGTACCCACAAGTTGATCGAGAACGTTGAGGAACAGCTCTAATGGCAAACTGGCGAACCCTCGCGATATGTTTTTCGGGAACTTAGCCTGTTCCATTAGTTCGCTAGCGATATTGAGTAGATATGTGCAAGTTGGAGATGGCGAGAATAGATTTTGGTGATATTGTTGAGCCTCCTTACGTCATCACCTTCCCCGCTCGCGGCCCGAACGCTAATCTTCATAAAGTCTAGTCTGGGAGCTAATACTGGAATGTACGACCTCGGGAGCGACGTACGAGCTACGGCGGCGGCCGTGGCGTCCGTAGGCCCCGTGAGCAATCTCTGGAGTAACACCATTACCCAGCGCAGTTCGGCCGACTCAAAACGAAGCGCGTCCTAGGGTGCACAAGGCCTCATTCGGGGCAACAACACATCCGAGCCATTTGTAGGTGGAGGCGGAGAATCTGATACACCGCTCCGCCCACTCCAATGCGATACCCCCTCATCAGTCGGCTTCGACTGACCAATTGCGTGTTTTTGTGCTCGTATGCCCTCCAGGCCTCATGATTGGTCGTGTCTGGTGGTGTGTACTCAAATGCGTTCAGACCCACTACTCGGTCGATATCATCCATGATTTTGACCGGCAGCTTTGAGCGAATTCATTAAGTCTCGCATCGTGAGGACGCGATCGTCTATCAGGTCTGCTACTTCCAAGGCGGCCCAAGAACTACCCTCCAGGACGTGCGTCACTAATGAATCAAACAACCACCGCGAAAAATGAAGGGCCGTTCGCGACTTCGACCCCCACATTCCGCAAGTGCTGGCAATATGTGAAGGGCCCACGCAGCTAGAGATCTGAGACAGCATATTGTAAGTTGGATCACAAGTCCAACCCTCTACTCGACCGGGATCTATATCGGTAGGAACTGCGAGCTCACTCGAACTTCATCCAGATGTTACTTCAGCAAGGCGTCTTAGCCGCTCTCTTGGTGGTATTGGCCTACATCCTCAAGGTATAAGGCTTCATACCAAACTCCATTGCGTCACACTAACAATGCGAAGATAGTGTGGACAGGGCTTACAGGTCCACTGTCAAAGCTGCCAGGGCCATGGTACACTAAGTACACCAATCTCGTCCTTCGTTACCAGACGGTTTCAGGAAAACGGATCTTCTACGTGGACAATCTTCACCAGCGCTATGGCGGCGTCGTGCGAATCTCTCCAAACGAGACAGCCATATCGGACATAGCCGGTGTCAGTCAGATACACAAGATCGGTGCTGGGTACCTGAAGTCAGACTTCTACTCATCTCTCCTTCCAACTGATACACCCGGTATATTCCCGATGCGCGATCCACATGCCCATGCCGCAAGAAGAAGGCTGTTTGCCCGACCCTTCAGCAACACCAGCTTGAGCAGCAACTGGGACGTGGAGATTAGGACGAAAGCAAACCTAGCTGTCCAGAGAATTCGACACGACGCAGTGGGTTCATCGCAAGGAGCCGATGTCCTCAAATGGTGGACGCTCATGGCGAATGATGTAATCGCTCACCTCAGCTTTGGAGAGAGCTCCGAAATGCTTGAGATGGGTAAGGTATGCAACTCAGCCTTCTTCAGTCTTGCTATGTATGCATTTTCTAATAACAGAGGTAGCAAACACCATACATCGATGCTATTCAGGCTGCGCTTATTTGCGGTATCATTCGGTCCGAAATTGGAACTACCATCTGGAAACTTCTCAGTTACCTCCCCATCAAACGGATAAAGTTTCTCTACTCGATCGATGATGTCCTAAACGAACACGGCGAGTGGGCGATACAGAAGATGCGCAGTGAGGGTGGCAATGCCAAGAATCTCTTCAATCAAATGATGGCTGCTGGGGAAGACAGCAAGACTGCCGCGCTTTCGAATAAACATATAAGGGAGGAAGCGGCCGGCTTCATTGTGGCCGGATCGGACACTACCGCGGTGACGCTCACCTATCTCGTCTGGGCGGTTCTCAAGCAGCCCGATCTGCAGTCTCGACTCGAGAACGAGATTGCAGAACTCAGCGAGGAGCTTACGAAGGAAGAGCTCGAGACTGCGCCTCTATTGAACAGCGTCATCGCAGAGACGTTGAGGCTTTACGGCGCTGCTCCTGGCGCCCTACCTCGGGTTGTACCGAAACAGGGCACTGTCATAGGCGGCCATCACATCCCCGCGGATACCGTGGTCAGTACTCAGGCTTACACAAACCATCGCAATCCTTCCGTCTTTCCCAATCCCCACGAATTTGACGGTCTTCGCTTTTTGGACAAGAGCATGATGTCAGCACATCAAAAGGCGTCATACATGCCCTTTGGAGCTGGCTCGAGGGTGTGTATCGGCATACATCTGGCTTATATGGAGCTCCGCTTAGGAGCTGCTCTCTTCTTCCGACATTGTCGCGGCGCCAGAATCTCCGACTCCATGAACGATGAGATGATGGAGATGGACAACAACTTCTTGATTGCTCCCAAAGGTCATCACTGCTATATCACCCTGAGATAAGAAACAACTTCAGTAACCGGTACATGTCTCTGGTAGTTGCGAAGTTCTTCGAGGGTATTCATCAGCCTTTGCATCGAGTGTTGCACGCGTGTAGGTAGGAAGTAGGAAAGTTATACGGTTGTTTGCTTCGCGAGGGGAATTATATGAACAATGAAGTGAACGATTCTCAATTCCACTCTGCTTCAAGATCACCAATCTTATCCTCTGGATACAAGGCATTCCATTCTTCTGCCAGCTGAAGCGCCAGATGCCGACGATCGCCCAGCAACCCACTGTTGACGACCCTAAACAGCTTTCTCGCGATGGCACTCTCGCGCGAAAGACCAAATATGATGAACTCTTCTGACGCCGCGCTCCTAAATGCTTGCTTCAACGTCTTGAATCTTCCCTCAGGCGGCTCGTACGTTGCCAAGTCTTCGTCTCTCTCGTCCATCGAGTGACCTACCCACGCCCAGAACGGGGGTCGGAGGGCCACAAACTTGGGTGCGAAGCAAGCCATATCCCAGTCTACGATACCTGTGATCTCCACAGTCTCTGGGACTGTGATCTTAGCGAGTATATTGCGGGGAAACAAGTCGCCATGCGTAAGATGAAAGCGCTGCCCTAGCCATCCGCGCCGATCCAGAGCTTTCGCAACGGCGATCGTGATTCGCCACAGGTTTTTGTTTCGACTCGCACGTCCAATCTCTTCTTCGTACTTCTGCCAACGCTGGCAATGATCATTCAGATACCCAAAAGGTGTTTGAGATGGCGCTGGACTCTGGCTGGGCTGAGCGAAGTGTGGTCGAATTTTCGCTTCTTTGTCCGTCGGAACGGGGAATTGATCCAGTGCTATATCTAAGCTCCCTGAGGTCAAGTTACTGAGGGAGATGAACCCAGCCGCGGGCGTCGTGACAGCTGCGATCCTTTCCACTGTTTGCGTAATCTGCTGAATGGCCGACGCTTTCTGTTGTGGATTCAGCTCTAGCCACAATGCATGTAAGTTCTTACCAGGTAGTAAGGTCTGCAGGGTATATGGCCGTCCCAAGGCATTTGTCGGACCAAGATCGTACTTCTCAATCTTGGGTATGGGTAGCCCTAGGCAGGAGCTGATAACGCGTTGTGTAACAATGTCGCCAGCAACGTCGCTCACAGGAGGACCATCCATGTCTCCATTCTTGTCTCTTGGAATTCTCAAAGCAAACTTGCGGATTCGTGGAGGTATGCCAAGAAACCTTGACACTCTAGCGCTAAAGTCGACCCCGGAGTCACGTCGTTGCGCCTTGTCTTGTAATGTGACAGCTACCACGATGTTCAAAGAGCCCTTTCCAAGTACTTGGAGTGAAGACTCTTCGATCTCGCTCTCAGGGAACAGATCGGCAATGAGTTGCAGAATTCGAAATTTCAACCTCAAGACTGTTTCTCTCCCTTCCAGAAAGCCTACGCCACCCTCAGTGAAGATGTTTTCGTCATCGAACAAGCGCCGTAAGGGGTTCTCACTTTCATATCCAGAAGTTGTCAGCTTATCGTTGCTCGGGACGCGATCTGGGAGGTATCCTCTAACCGCTTCAATGCAGGCGATGTCAACTTTGCTCAGTCCATGAAGTGACATATCGAGATGCGCCATTGGGTGCGGCCTTACCGCCTGTATATCTTGACCTGGTCTCAAGGCAAGGTATTCGTCTATTCCTGTTCCCGCTTAGTAGAAGTCCAAAAAGGAAGATTTGAGTTAAGGGTTTTCTTTCCCTTGAATAATTCGCGGCATCGTGAATGAATTCACGGTGGTCATCTGATTATAGTGATGATTGTAGGTGCACAATGTCCGCCCATCAGGTAACAAGAGCAGTTTAGTTCTTTCCTGTGTAGGAGAATGGGCTTTGTGTAAGACACATTGTCACGGTTGCAGATCTTCCAAAGCTGCCTCTTCAAAGCTTCCTTCTGTTACTGTCATAGCTCGTAGCTACCCATGTGCAAGCAACTCATGAATTCGGTAATATCGACCTCCGTCATATGGAAGAAAGTGTCTGGAGGGAGAGAGCCTGGATGTTACCGCAGTCGGATAGTTCTCTTGAAGCCTTCCAAGGTTTCTGAAATGTTCAAAGCAGTTGGAACAAGAACTTAGTTATTATGTTTTGATGGAGTATCGATCACATATGTCGTACTAGAGATTACAGTATGTGCATGTATTGTAATGGAAGATGTCAATCAAGTAATTAGGTATCGCCATGCCATGCGTATATCGAACCATCGTTCTACTACTCTACAACAACGGAAATTTCTTTCGCAACGACTGACTCGTCTTTCTCCGCATCTGATGTAGATTCCGAGTCAGAGTCGGAGTCAGAATCAGAATCAGACCCAGAGTCAGAGTCAGAGTCAGAGTCAGAGTCAGAGTCAGAGTCAGAGTCAGAGTCAGAGTCAGAGTCAGAGTCAGAGTAAGATTTGCGGTAATGAATATCATCCTCAGGGTGTAGGTCATCCCAAGCCATGATGATGCTCTCTGCCAAATCATGCTCCCACTCATCGGACATGCCCTTATGGATGATCTCAAACATTTGCCTAGCCATCATGGCCTCTCGGGAGAATGCAAAGCGCTTGTATTTCTCCGATGCGTTATCGAGGAACACTTGCTTCATCATCTTGTCCTCCTCAGTGATTGGCTCCACAGACGCTACCCATTCTCCGTCTTCCTCGCCGCTAGTCATCTCCTCAGGCGTCCAAAGCCAGAACGGAGCTCTATAAGCCATGAACTCAGGAGCGATAATGGCGGAATCCCAGTCGATGACGCCTGTGATCACTGCCTCGGTGTCACTACGTACTTCCGCTAGAATGTTGTAAGGTTTGAGATCGCCGTGGACGAGTACGCAGGGCCCATCGAGGAAGCCACGAGCTGCCAGAGCTTTTGACATCCTAGCGAAGCTCACCCAGACCTCGTCAAAGTTGACTCCTTCAAATGCGTCATAAGCGCGATGCTGCTCGCAACGCTCAAGGAGGAAGTCGAGGGGCTTGCAGGTCGATGTCGGTTTGGACGACGGCTGATCACCGTAAGCCGTCATGGAGAACGTATCGACACCGATCGGGGTTGTCGAGGGGCAGGACAAGTTTCGCGATGCTATATCGCCGGCTGGACCTTCCACAGAAGCGATGGTAGATGCGAGAGCGGTGAGTTGCTTAGCCATGCATTGCTTTTGTTGTATATTGAGGTTATGCCAAAAGCTCCCGGCCAGGTTGCTGCCAGGAAGTCGCTTTTGAATCATGTATGGTCGTCCAAATATGTTTTCCGTAGTAGTATCGTAGCTTGCGACATCGGGAGTGGGCAAAGGTAGTCGTGACATAGTCGTCTTCAATACTGCCACTTGGCGCTTCATATCTTCGGCCATAGCTTCGGCACCATTGTCACCATCGTCCATCATTCGCGGAACACGTACAATGTACGACTCGCACTGTGTGGTCGCCTTCTTCTTGCGCGCGCACAAACAGCGGAACGTGAACCAGATCCAGCTAAACATCTTTGGCTTTGTTGAGAGCGTGACGCCAATGACTCGGTTGAAGGAGCCACCCTTCATTTCGTGGATTGAAATGTCTCGTGGGTTTCGCTGGAAGATTTTGGCGGCTAGATCGGCAACTTTGTGCTGTAATGTCTCAAATGGCTCCTGTCCGTAGAGAACGGTGTTCGTTTCTGAGACCGCATCATCTTGCGGCTCGTCGTCCTGCTGGTCATTGCGAGCAACTGGTTCATAATGTAGAGTGTCGTATGTTGCGCCGCCCGTCGTAACAGTAACAGTATCACCTGTAGCATGATGTTGTGTGTCCGCAACTCGTTCAGTCGAAGCCACAGGCGGAGAAGAGTCAGGCGACATGGTGTCGTCGTCTAAAGGTGTGGGTAGGAGTTGTAGTGTAGGCGGAAGGGCCTTTTGAAGTTTCTGGGGCGCATTGTTGCATGGTAGCTCTTTGTTTGCTTAGTGCCAAGCCTTGTCGGTGCACAGGGTCTCTTCCCTTCGAGACCGTCACTGCGTGCGCGGTGTGAATGCTCAAACTCATCGACTGTCTGAACGTGAAAGTCTCACATCGTCACAATGCATCCCGTGAAGTCCGTGTATATAAACCGCGCTACCTACAACGCCTCCACAAACCTATAGGAAACACTCTACTCATCGCAACACCATCCGCAAAGAACAACAAGACACGCTTACATTATCAACCATTAGAAACATGGGTAAAGGTACTACAACTGTCAAGCATCACTGCCCCGGAGCGAATGGTTGGGTCGGCGACGTGAGCCCTGGAAACTGCGTCCCGAGTACCGGCAGACTGATATACTGCACAAAGCACCAGATGCCGTGCCGTCAAGGGTGTGCAGGCAAGAAACATCTCAAGAACCAGCCAGGTTGTTTATCGTGCAAGTCGAAATGGCAGGCGGATGAAAAAGAGGAGAGGAAAGCGAAGGAAAAGTTGAAAGAGAAAGAGAAAGACAAAGAGCTCGAAGATTTCTTGAACCCAGGTAAAGAGAGAAAGAAGAAGAAGTAAGTCCATGCATGGCTGGCATGAACCTGGAGGGCGGGCTTGAGAAAGGGGGAGGTTCAAGAGACGTACAGTTTTGAAAGAGTGACTAAGAAGATTTGGGTTGATGTATTAGCTGAATATCTTGTCCAACTCTCGATATAAAGCGATCGATACATTGTATGAATAAGTTTAACCAGTATCTTCGGCCACTAAAGCTAGATTCGACTTTGGCTGAGATGTCGTGATGACCGATAATCGCGGCTACTACCTGTATGAAATGCATTAGTTGCCTGTTTACGCATCGCTCAGTGTTCCTGATAACGTAAAGATTGTTCTTGAGATGTTCCGATAACACCCGAGCGTACTGTCATGATTGCGCAGATGCTTTGCGATGATGGCGGGGTGGAGGATCGTTCGCGCGTCGCGTCCGCCAAACAACTGCGCATCCTCTCCTTGTCAGCACAACCGCGTGTCGGTTGCAGCCCTCATCGCACTGCGCGCGCTCGCAGGTACCCCGA